GCCCTGCTAGGTAACATCGTCTGTGCTCCTCCAGTGAAGCATCGATGTTCTGTCCTGCTTGTTATTTATATGTCTTGGTTTGCTGGGTTGGTTGGTATTACTTCTGGTTCTGTTTTTCAGTGGTTTGTACACGGGGTCTAATTCAATATGTTTGTTGATGGAGTTACAGTTGGAATACCAGGCCTCCAGGAATTCCCTGGTATATCTCTGTGTGGCTTGTGCGATTATGGATGTGTTGTCGCAGTCACATTTGTGTACTTCTTTATCCGTGCGTATTGAGACCAGTGAGAATTGGTCGTGTCTCTTGGTGGCTAGTTGGTGTCCATATATCCTTATTGTCAATTTTCTTCCAGTTTGGCCTATGTAGCGTTTCTTACAGTCCTTGCATGGTATTTTGTATATTACGTTAGTGTTATTGTTTGTGGGTATAGGATCCTTTACATTTGTCATTAGCTGTCGCAGGGTGGTTGTTGGTTTGTGGGCTACTCTGATACCTAATGCTGGGGGAAGGGGACTATAGGAGCATAATCCCCTCTGACCAGGGACAAAGCCTCAGTAGGCAGGCAGGATTCAGACAGTGACAGACTTTATTCATGCAACAATCGGTTAACGCAGGGAGAGGGCCAAAGATCTTCTCCGAATCTGGCCTCGATGCGAGAACCCAATTGTTCCCTTAATCTATGGCTCAGATTGGAAGAGAGATCAATGGCACACTCTGATTCTTACAGTGAAAGATGACATTTTTATACATTTTGTCTTACAATAATCACATACAGCATGGTCACTTTCCCTTATTCTATACATCCAATCCTGTGACCCACCGAGTCAATGATGGGCACTCCTATGAACAGCCCTGTGCTTCCATGATTTCATGGTGTTTAACAGACATTGTAGTCGCCAGGTCTTGGGATCTTTCTATGCAACCTATTAATTCACACTCCAAAATTCCTGGTTATACTCCTTCAGACCTGTCCCAGACTTGCTTATCTCTCAGGGCTGCTTGAATTCTGTTATTCATTGTAATCCATGTGCTATCTCTATCAAATTCTGTTATTCCTTTCATATTTTCCACTGTCCCAACTATATATAAAAAAAATACAAAAGACAGTTGGTTTTCTAACTAACTGCCTTAAGATTCGTAGTATTAATTTCTATTTTACAGTTAGTTATATGTAAAGATTTACAGCTACTTCTACTGTTAGCACCTTTTAACTAATAAGTTGCGAACAATCTATTTCGCTCAGGACGTGCCAAGCACCTTTTTAGAGACAAGGAAAGTGGTTCCTAAGGCTAATTAACTTTCACATCGAGGTTTAAATGTTTTTCCCCTAATGCTTCTATTGTACTTTGGTTATACGTGTATTTGTACTTATGTTGAAATCTATCCCTATAATTATCTGAAGAATCTTTAACTGGAACCTATTTCTTAATATTGTGAATAATAAAGAAACAACTAATTCCTACAAAATAACTTTAGCTGTTATTTTCGTAGCTGCTAAATGAGTTAGGCTGACTAGTTCATGGACAGAGATTTACACCCCTTGTTCTAATTAGCGCTGTTCACCTAATGGGACAACATCCTTTCATTAATGAGGTTGGAATCAATCATTTGTCTTATTTTAATAAACTTGAGTATATCCTTAGACATCCCCTTACAAACTGTCTGGGGTGCCAGTTTGTGTATGGCTTTCTGATCACCTTGGAGTAGCCCTGTTCAAATGTAATGTTATGTTTCATTAAAGCTGGAGCAGGGGTTTAATTTTGTTTATCTCTTGTTGACCATTTTGTGTCTTTCAAACATGGGCAGCACTTACAGGGGGCCAGTGTATGACTGACAGTGGGAGAGGGGAAATACAGAAACAATAAGAACCCTGTCATTTCTAAATCTACGGGGAATATCTGGGACTATGTAAGCAGAAATCATTGAAGGTAGTGAGACAAGTTGACAGGGTAGTTAAGAAACATACAGGCTGCTGGGTTTTATAAAGAGCTGGAGAGATTGCTGAAGGTTGTTACCTTAAACCTGTACAATACAATGGTTCAAACACACCTGCAGTTTGTGTCTACACTTCAGTAACTCACCAAGGTTATCTTCAAAACCCATGACCATTTCCATCATGCAGGAGAAGGAGAGCAGATACATGGGAGCACCATTCCCTGAAAGTTCCCCTCCAAGACACTCACCATCCAGTCTCAGCACAGTGTTATCCAGCGGGAGGAAATTGTCCTCAGCATTGGCTCTCATCCCCTTAAAATCACATGGCATCATTTCCAAACATGGGTTGAGCATTGGCAAGCATCTTTGGCCAGAAGTGCCCTGTGGATGATCCATCTCAGCCTCCTCCACGGGGCCCCAGCATCACAAATATCAACTGCAGCCAATTTGATTCAATTCACCTGATATCAATACTAGGGGGCATGCATTTAAAGTGAGAGGTGGAAAGTTCAAAGGAGAAGTGAGCGGCAAGTTTTTTACACAGAGAGTGGTAGGAGTCAGGAACACACTGCCGGGGATGGTGGTTGAGGCACTTAAGGGACTTTTAGATAAGCACATGAATATGCAAAGAATGGAGGGATATGGACCAAGGGCAGGCAGAAGGGATTAGTTTAGTTTGGAATCATGTTCAGCACAACATCGTGGGCTGAATGGCCTGTTCCTGTGCTGCATTGGCTATGTTCATGCACCTGTCGTTCTCCAGGAGTATTTGTAAGAAATGCACTGAACAATAAGAACATACACTTGATGGAAATCAGGAAAATATGACAAAATTATTAATGTTAATTTTTGTGAAATTTGAACTTATTCTGCAATCACACTATTGTTTAGCAAAGCTGGATGCCTGGATGGTTATGCAATCTTTGTAAACTGCCTGAGTGCCTGACTGGACATACTGTACATCTCTATGACTCTAAACTGAATGGAACCTGCAAGGGAGAGACTTTCCCCAGAGATTACTGATGTAGCACAAGCACTGAGTTCCCATTGGGTCTTAGTGCATCACTGTTATTTAAAAACAGAGACTGCTCAGCGTTCGATGTTAGACAATTCCTTCTCTTTGGAAGCAATAGGACTTTTGGGAAGTATTTTCCTGATTTTTGATCATTGGGCTGTGTTAGTTTAGACCAGGACTGTCTGGGAAGGGCGAGGGGAATGTGCCCAGAATTCCAGGTCAAATACTCAGCGCTGAGGGAAATTGGAGCCAAAGCTGCTGGCAGTGAAAACTATCATAACATCATCACATTCAGACCCTCTCAGACCTCCATGACCCTCTCACCCTACCCCCATCCCAGTCTGACTCCTTAATTCCCCCCACACCCATTCTGAACCCCTCATTCTCCCCATCCCAATCTCACCCCTCATTCCCTTAAATCCTGCCCCCTCATTCCCTCCAAATCCCAATCTGATCCCTTCATTCTGCCCAACCCCAATCTGACCCCTCACTCACCCAAAACCAATCTGAACCCTTCATTCTCCCTTATCCCAATCTGACTCCCTCATTCCTGCCGATCCCAATCTCACTCCTCATTCCCCCAATCTCATCCCTCATTCTCCCAATCTTACCCCTCATTTCCCCAGTCCCAATCTCAATGCCTCATTCCCTCAATTCCAATCTTACCATCTCATCCCCCGAATCCCAATCTCACCCCTCATTCCCCCAATCTCATCCCTGATTCTCCCAATCCCACCCCTCATTTCCCCAATGCCAATCTGACCACCTCATTCCCTCCTAATCCCAATCTGACCCCCTCATTCCCCCAAACCCAATTTGACCCCCTCATTCCCTCAATCCCAATTTGACCCCCTCATTCCCTCAATGCCAATCTGACACCCTCATTCCCTCCGAATCCCAATCTTACCCCTCATTCCCTCAAATCCCACCCCTTAATTCCCTCCAAATCCCAATCTGACCTCCTCATTCCCCCAATTCCAATTTGACCCCCTCATTCCCTCAATGCCAATCTGACCCCCTCATTCCCTCCGAATCCCAATCTTACCCCTTATTCCCTCAAATCCCGCCCCCAATTCCCTCCAAATCCCAATCTGACCCCCTCATTCTGCCCAACCCCAATCTGACGCCCTCACTCTCCCAATCCCAATTTGACATCCTCATTCCCCCAATCCCAATTTGACCCCCTCATTTCCCCAATCCCAATCTGACCCCTTTATTCCTCCAACCCCAATCTGACACCCTCCTTCCTCCAATCCCAACATGATTCCCTCATTCCCCCCAATCCCAATCTGACACCCTCACTCTCCCCCAATCCCAATAGGATCCCCTAATCCCAATCTGACCCCCCTCATTCACCTCCCCCCACCCCATCCCAATTTGATTCCTCTGTCCTGGTGTGATCCCTTATCCAACATGATCTGTGCTATCCTCATTTTTCCAGTGTGATGCCCTGTCCTAGTGTGATGCCCCTATTCCAGCATGATCCTGCCATGATCTGACGTGATCCCTCTGACCCTCTTTGTTCCAGCGTTAGTCTCTTTGTGCTGGCGTAATCTGGCTTGATTCACTGCTCTGGTGTGACCTGGTGTGACATGTCCTGGTATGATCTGCTGTGAACTAGTGATCTGCTGTGAACGCCTGTCCTTGTGTGATCCACTCTGAGCCCCCTGTCCTGCTGTGATCCTCTATTCCTATATGATTCTCTGTGATCCCCATCCAGCTGTGACCCTCCTGTCCTGGTGTGATCTGTTGTGATCGTTCTGTTCCTGTGTGACCTGCTGTCCCAATGTAATCTGTGGTGAACCACTGACTGCCAATGATCGCTGTGATCCTCTGTTGCTGTGTGATCCTCTGTGATTCCCCCTGCCCCACTGTGGTCTCTGTGATCCCCCGTGCCAGTGGGATACTCTGTGACCACCACCCCCGTCCTGTACCGCTGTGATGCTTTGACCCTGTTTGATCCTCTGTCCTGATGTGATCGCATGTGATCCACCTATTCTGCTGTGATCCTCTGTGCCAATGTGATCTGTGACCACCCCCTTGTCCTGCTGTGATCCCTGTCCCGCTGTTACCCAACCCCAAATCCGCCCCCATACCCCGTCCCGGCGTGATCAACTGTGATCCATTCTGGGTGGTGCTGGCGCTGTCTTGGATCTGAAGTTACTTTCGGTTGCACTTTCGGAGCTGGAGCTGAGGAAGTGAGGCGCGGAGATGGCGCTGATGGAGATGTGCAGCATTCAGGACTGGAATCAGAACGATCTCCCTCTCGGACAGAGCAGCATGCTTCTCAGCCCAGGGCAGCAGCTTGGTCTCGGGGCCAGGGACCAGCTGGTGGTACCGGTTGGTCTGGATGTGAGTAACTGCAGGTTGATTCCTGACTCTGTCTCTGTCGGTTCCGGTTTGTTCAGCGAGGCCCGGGTTTCGGTCAAAAATCCCTGAAGAAAACGATCAGAGACACACGGGGCAAGTGGGGACAGGCAGGCTGGAGTACCGTAGCTGGGAAAGTGTGTAACAGAGCTCCAGAACTGTATAGTTCTGGAGAGAGGGCTGTGTGTGTGTGAGAGAGAGAGAGACAGGGTGGCAGTACGTGAGAGGGAGGAAGAGTCAGTCCAATTCTTGTGGTGACCATCACTCATGACAGACTTCAAGTTGACAGTGGTCATTACCCTGCTGCAGATGTTAAGGGCGTGCGGATGTTGACCAGAATAACTCCCTCACATGTTCGCTAGCTGTACCTGCTTGTAGGTTCCATTACCTGGCCCAGGACAATCACAGATTTAACTGATAAATACTCCATGTGGTTACTTCTGATCCACTCTGTCCGTTTTCATCAAAACCTTCACCTTTTCCAGAGTTACTGCAATAGTTCAGTCCATTACTGCTGAGTTACAATACTTTAAACTAAGCCTAACACAGAAGCACTTTAAAAACAGCAACCTTTTGAATCATGAGGTCACTGCCAGGCTTCATAAGTTTTTCAGTTCATTCAACTGGATTGAACTTCCTTTTGGCTAACCCAGCAAATGTTAGGTTAATATCCCCACAAGCTATGATAAACATTATGAACCACCAACATACAGCTGTATGAGTAACCCCCTAATAAACTCTCCCATACAGAAAAAAAATGGGTGTCACAGGGCAGAGTGAATGACTGGGAAGGCAGTTCAATGGTCCCTGTCCACAGGGGTCACTGAGATGGTCCTTATGGCTTCTCAACACTTGCTGCTGCATGATCTCCCTCTCTGGGTATTCGCATTTGCTTGTAGAAGGTAGAGGGTGACTGGTTCACACTTAGAGAGGCTCTGACTTGCAGGTCAACAGTCACAGCTTAGAGTAACTGTTGTGGGAAACAGAAATGGATTTGCTTCAGACTTGAGGCAATTTTTATTGCAGAGAAAGAAGACAGTTTGGTGGCACAATGGTTCAGTGGTTAGCACTGCTGCCTCACAGCACTGGGGATCTGGGCTCAATTCCAACCTCAGGTTACTATCTATGTGGAGTTTGCACATTCTCCCTTTGTCTGTGTGGGTTTTCTCTGGGTGCTCCAGTTTCCTCTCACCATCTATGTTAAGCGGATTGGCCATGGGAAATGTGCAGTTACAGGAATAGAGTGGAATGGGATACTCTTTAGGGGGTTGGTGCAGACCAGATAGGCCAAATAGCCTCTTTCTGCACTGTAGGGATTCTGTAAATCTACAAGCTCCTGTTCTTGCAGAGATCCAATGGCATTTGACTCAAATATTCATGCCCACAATCTGTTCAAATCCCTGGAAACCAATCACATTTTTGTTGGCCAGCCTTTGTCATCGTTAACCAGTCACTAGCACATAGACCAATCAGCTACTTGTTGCTGGTTAATTCTCCATTCAGTCCTTAGCTTCAGCTCTTCTACAAATCTTATCTGCAGTGCCTGAACACACGGTCAGTGTCAGGTTGCCTCCTTTTAAAGAGCAACATTCCTTCAGCTATCCTTGGCTTTTAAAACAGTCATTTTTCCCATTTCAGTCCACAATGAAAAATAAAGGAAAGTGAAAAGTCTTTAGAGCAACCATTACTGAGGCATGGCTGCAGGATGGTCAGGATTAAGAACTAAATATACTCGGCTACAAAGTTTACAGGACCGATAAGGAGAATAGCAGAAGGAATGAAATAGCCTTACTGATTAGAAACAAAATTACTTCAATGGTGAGGAAGGGTATAATGAGGGGAAGGCATTCAATGGAGACTGCATGGATGGAACTGAAGGACAGTAAAGTATCTAAAACTAATAGGTGTAGTGCAGAGAACCACCCAGGAGCAGCTCTGAAGTGTTAGATCACACAAACACAGAAATTAGTCAATCGCGTAGCAAAGTCAACAGTAGTATTGATGATAACAAGGTGTAGAGCTGGATGAACACAGCAGGCCAAGCAGCATCAGAGGTGCTGACATTTCAGGTCTGGACCCTTCTTCAGAATTTTCTGAAAATGTCCTCTTCACAGAAAAAAAGCCTTTGACAATTAAAGAGATAAGGGACAGCATGAAAATACAAATAGCAGCACAGATCCTGCTGAATGAGAAAGATACAAAGACCAGCAAAGGGCCATAAAGCAGCTTATAAGAGCTGATGAAAGGGATTATGAAAGGAAATTTGCCAGAGACATCAAAAAGAAGAAATTTTATAGTTACATAAAAGGCAGGCGGGTGGTCAGAAGCGATGTTGACCCATTAAGGACTGAAATTGGAGATCATGTGGAATAGTTACTTTATCTAAGTATTTACAGTAGAAAAGGGTAGTTTGACAGAATAAGGAAATTTATAGTGGATCAGGAACAGGAACTGAAAAAAATTAATGTAAGTAAAACACCGATAATGAAGAAATTAATGCAATTCGAAAGTGGCAAATCCCCAAGTGCTGACAGTTTTCATCGAGGGTGTGAAAGGAAATAGGGAAGCACAATGTAGACTTTCAGAAATCTCCAGATACAACAGTTATTCCCTGCATTGGAAAACTGCACACGGCAGTCTATTTTTTAAGAAGAATAAAGAGGAAAACCAGGGATTGTCAGATGCATTAACCTAACATCTGTGGCGCAGAAATTGTTAGCGTCTATAATCAAGGATGGGGTAACAGAACACATTGAAAATTTTCAATTAATCAGGGGAAAGCCAACATGGTTGGTAACACCTATGCTCGGTTCTCACTAAACAACTGCACCTCCCAGTCGCGAACCATTTCAACTCCCCCTCCCATTCCTTAGACGACATGTCCATCCTGGGCCTCCTGCAGTGCCACAACGATGCCACCCGAAGGTTGC